AGAGAGGCAGATCTTCCATCTGCTGATTCACTCCCCAAATGGCTACAACAGCAGGGGCTGGGCCTGGCTGGAGCCAGGAGCCAGAACTCTAGTCGGGTCTCCCACACAGGTGGCAGGGGGCTCTGTTGCTCTCACGGGGCATTAGCAGGGAATTCGACAGGAAACAGAGCAACCAGGATGTGAGCCAGCGCTCACATGGGATGCCAGCATCACAGGCAGTGGCCCAAGCTGCGGTGAAGTAATTCCGACCCTGGTGCTAATTTATGTAGTGGCAAACTGTTGCACAGATCTGAGCGAAGCGTTCATGCTGTAGGGACAGTCAGCAGTGTCTAGAAGGCCACCCAGTGTTGCTGTGTTTTTTTCCCATGCAGAAGCCTCACTGTGGGAGAACTATCTCCTGAGTTGGTAACCTGATAGACGCAGCACGTCTTCAAAGGAATCTACATTCCCTTTCACCAGACATCTGCTGGGGACAGGCTGATCAGACAGTTAAACTACTTTTCTACAAACATCTGCAAAGATTTCTCCTGAGGTTTAAATATAGTTGAAATAATCATAAGCTAGCTTTTTAAAAATAATTTCAAGACCAATCTTCTGGGGAGCAGGGCCCGGCCCCCACAATATGGCGCTGAGAGGGAGTCAACAACTTCCACACAGCTGCCTCACCAACTCGACTAACAGGCTGCAGGAGCTGGTCCTGCTCCTGATTGGAGGAGAGCAGCGTGCTCAGTGTGTGGGCAGCAGAGTTGGGATTGGTGGAAGAGGACTATAAAGCAGGAGAGAGACAACATGCACCAGGAACATCTGAGGAACCCCTGAGAGAGCCGGCTGGCGGTGTGCCGCTCCTCCGCGGAAGTGGGGGAAGCGGCGGGGGTGCCGCCCCTCCGCGGAGGTGGGGGGAGTGGCAGCAAACCCGGGAAGGGCCGGGGAAAAAGAACAGCACAGGGTCCGGTGTTGTTCCTCCGCGAGTGGGGGAGCGACATAATGGTGCCGTGACTCGGATATGAAACCTAGGAGGGAAGAAGCGGGAAAATACTGGAGAGAGACTAGGGAGAGCCTAGGGAGAAGCTGGATGGAAAAAGTGCTGGGAGAATCTAGTGAAAGCCTAGGGATAGACTCGGATACGGACTGCGGGGAGAAGCCAGGAGAAATGAGAGAAATACTACTGGAAGAAAGCTAGGAAAAGTACCGAAAGAGAAAAATACAAGCTAGGGGAAGGTGAAGCCACGTGGGTAGGCCAAAGTGGAGACGTAAGCTAGGTTGGGATTCGTCAGATTAGCCCAGGGAGCAAAGACGAAAAGCTAAGCCGAAAGCGGAGATGTAAGCTAGGCTGTGATTCAGAGAAGCCGTGGAGCACGGAGGCCGCGGGGAGAGCGTGAAGGGCGCGGAGACCGTGGAGTGTGCGCGAGAAGCGGCGGGGCGCGAGAAGCGGTGGGGCACGGAAGCCACGCAGAGCCGGGAAGCCGCGGCGGGGCGGGCGCCGGGAACCCACGGGGCTAAGAGAAATAAGAATGCCCAGAGATAGAAGTAAAATAAGAGAGAAATAGGAATGCCCGGAGACAGAGAGAAATAAAATAGAGAAAAATAATAAACGCCTCCCCACAACATGGCGATGAGAGGGCTCGGATTCAGACTGCCTGTTAGTAAGGCGATAAGCACCTGTGGGCAGCTCGAGCAGAGCAGAGTATGCGCCGCAGGGCACCGAACACAGGCACGCATCAGCGCCTAAAAGCCTCCCCACAACATGGTGATGAGAGGACCCGGATTCGGTTTGCCTGATTGGTAGGGTGATAAGCACCTGTGGGCAACGCTAGCTGAGCAGAATATGCGTCGCGGGGCACCGAAGACAGGCACGTATCAACGCCTTAAAGAATTAAAAAGAAAGGGGGACCTGTGGAGAGCAGGGCCCAGCCCCCACAATATGGTGCTGAGAGGGAGTCAACAACTTCCACACAGCTGCCTCACCAATTCAACTAACAAGCTGCAGGAGCTGGTCCTGCCCCTGATTGGAGGAGAGCAGCATGCTCAGCGTGTGGGCAGCAGAGTTGGGATTGGTGGACGAGGACTATAAAGGAGGAGAGAGACAACATGCACCAGGAACACCTGAGGAACCCCTGAGAGAGCTGGCTGGTGGTGTGCCGCTCCTCCGCGGAAGCGGGTGAAGTGGTGGGGGTGCCGCCCCTCCGCGGAGGCAGGGGGGAGCGGCAGCAAACCCAGGAAGGGCTGGGGAAGAAGAACAGCACAGGGCCCGGTGTCGTTCCTCCGCGAGTGGGGGAGCGACACAATCTCCCCACAAACCCAGAAGAAAAAATCTTACTTGTACACACCCTACACGCCTGTGAAACTTGTAACCATGCCACGAGTGAGAAGCGTAGCAGATGATGCCCTGCGTACCCAGCAGACGCCTGTGCTTCTAACAAATGACGCCCTGCGTACCACAGCAGACGCGTGTGCTTCTAACAAATGACGCCCTGCGTACCGCAGCAGACGCGTGTGCTTCTAACAAATGACGCCCTGCGTACCCAGCAGACGCCTGTGCTTCTAACAAATGACGCCCTGCGTACCACAGCAGACGCCTGTGCTTCTAGCAAATGACGCCCTGCGTACCACCGCAGACGCGTGTGCTTTTAACAAATGACGCCCTGTGTACCGCAAAAGACGCGTGTGCTTCTAGCAAATGACAACCTGTGTACCGCAGCAGACGCCTGTGCTTCTAGCAAATGACGCCCTGCGTACCACAGCAGACGCCTGTGCTTCTAACAAATGACGCCCTGTGTACCGCAGCAGACGTGTGTGCTTCTAACAAATGACGCCCTGTGTACCGCAGCAGACGTGTGTGCTTCTAAAAAATGACACCCTGTGTACCACAGCAGACGTTGTGTGCTTCTAACAAATGACGCCCTGTGCACCGCAGCAGACGCGTGTGCTTCTAACAAATGACGCCCTGTGTACCGCAGCAGACGCGTGTGCTTCTAACAAATGACAACCTGTGTACCACAGCAGACGTGTGTGCTTCTAACAAATGATGCCCTGCGTACCACAGCAGATGCGTGTGCTTCTAACAAATGACGCCCTGTGTACCGCAGCAGACGCCTGTGCTTCTAACAAATGATGCCCTGCGTACCGCAGCAGATGCGTGTGCTTCTAACAAATGACGCCCTGTGTACCACAGCAGACGTGTGTGCTTCTAACAAATGACGCCCTGTGTACCACAGCAGACGCCTGTGCTTCTAACAAATGACGCCCTGTGTACCGCAGCAGACGCGTGTGCTTCTAACAAATGACGCCCTGCGTACCGCAGCAGACGCGTGTGCTTCTAACAAATGACGCCCTGTGTACCGCAGCAGACGCCTGTGCTTCTAACAAATGACGCCCTGCATACCGCGGCAGACGCCTGTGCTTCTAACAAATGACGCCCTGCGTACCGCAGCAGACGCATGTGCTTCTAACAAATGACGCCCTGTGTACCACAGCAGACGCCTGTGCTTCTAACAAATGACAACCTGTGTACCGCAGCAGACATGTGTGCTTCTAACAAATGACGCCCTGTGTACCGCAGCAGACGCCTGTGCTTCTAACAAATGACAACCTGTGTACCGCAGCAGACGCCTGTGCTTCTAACAAATGACAACCTGTGTACCGCAGCAGATGCGTGTGCTTCTAACAAATGACGTCCTGTGTACCGCAGCAGACGCCTGTGCTTCTAACAAATGACGCCCTGCGTACCGCAGCAGACGTGTGTGCTTCTAACAAATGACGCCCTGTGTACCACAGCAGATGCGTGTGCTTCTAACAAATGACGCCCTGTGTACCGCAGCAGACACGTGTGCTTCTAACAAATGACGCCCTGTGTACCGCAGCAGACGCCTGTGCTTCTAACAAATGATGCCCTGCGTACCGCAGCAGACGCGTGTGCTTCTAACAAATGACGCCCTGTGTACCGCAAAAGACGCGTGTGCTTCTAACAAATGACGCCCTGCGTACCGCAGCAGACGTGTGTGCTTCTAACAAATGACGCCCTGTGTACCGCAGCAGACGCGTGTGCTTCTAACAAATGACGCCCTGTGTACCGCAGCAGACGCCTGTGCTTCTAACAAATGACAACCTGTGTACCGCAGCAGACGCCTGTGCTTCTAACAAATGACGCCCTGTGTACCGCAGCAGACGCCTGTGCTTCTAACAAATGACGCCCTGCGTACCGCAGCAGATGCGTGTGCTTCTAACAAATGACGTCCTGTGTACCGCAGCAGACGCCTGTGCTTCTAACAAATGACGCCCTGCGTACCGCAGCAGACGTGTGTGCTTCTAACAAATGACGCCCTGTGTACCACAGCAGATGCGTGTGCTTCTAACAAATGACGCCCTGTGTACCGCAGCAGACACGTGTGCTTCTAACAAATGACGCCCTGTGTACCGCAGCAGACGCCTGTGCTTCTAGCAAATGACGCCCTGTGTACCGCAGCAGACGCCTGTGCTTCTAGCAAATGACAACCTGTGTACCGCAGCAGACGCCTGTGCTTCTAACAAATGACGTCCTGTGTACCGCAGCAGACGCCTGTGCTTCTAACAAATGATGCCCTGTGTACCGCAGCAGACGTGTGTGCTTCTAACAAATGACGCCCTGTGTACCACAGCAGACGTGTGTGCTTCTAACAAATGATGCCCTGCGTACCACAGCAGACGTTGTGTGCTTCTAACAAATGATGCCCTGCGTACCACAGCAGACGTTGTGTGCTTCTTGGGTTAACAGTTGGTCTGCTTCCAACAAACCTTATCAATAACGGGACAGGAAATTTCCGTATCTGGGTCAGAATTCTGGCCTGTATACACCACATGTTAATTCACCTTAGTTACAATGCTTGCTTTATTTACAGAATGGATTTTTCTATCTTATTTGTTCTGTTAAAAATATTAATCAGCATATCTTGTGGCAACAGAATGGTGGCCCCCAAACACAAGGACTGAAATCCGCTCTGAGAACAAAGTCGGGCACTGCTCACCGGGCCCTGGAGACCGCCGTCCTCCCGGTCAATGCTGCCGCGAGAGAGCCTCACGTCGGGTTTCTAAGGAAATCAAAACCAAAACAAGTTCACTCCTGACTTGAAAATCACTGACAGATTCTGTATTAAATTCCTTCCTTTTACTTATTTGTGCCACAATGGCCAGGGCTGGGCCAGGCTGAAGCCAGGACCCAGGAGCTTCATCCACTTCATCCCTGTCTCCTATGTGGGAGCAAGGGCCCAAGGACGTGGCTTCCCAGGTGGATTACCAGGGAGGCAGACACGAAGTGGAGCAGTGAGGACTTGAACTGGCTTCACCTGCTCTGCCACAGCAACACCCCAATCCCTTCCTTTTATAAGAGAATGGTCTTAAAAATATCTGCAAAGCTCAATGATGATACATGAAGGTTGGCTGCCACACATATCTTATAAAACTGGCACCTGTGTGGCACATGCACACACAGGTACACACACGGCACCAGACTGTCACTCAGCAGAGCAGCACGGCAGGTTTCCTTCAGTGCAAGGACCTTGACCCCGGATTGAACACCAGGCGCCACCTCCCGACGTGCAACGCTTACATGCATGTAGCTGTCTTGCCGTAGCAGCAAGTGGGTCGGTCCCCAGAGTACTGGAATCATACTTAAATAGGAGTGCGCAAGTTCCACTACCATGAGAGAACAGGGAACAGCTGACAGGTCTTTATGATGAAGGGTCGTGGGGGGTCTTATTTACAAAAATTACTCTCCACTCCGGCAGGACTGGACTTCACGATGCCCAAGCAGCCACACTGGCCCCTGTACACCAGCCACTCGCCATACATTTCTTTCTTCTATTTTTTTTTTTAAAGATTTATTTATTTGAAAGGCAGAGTTACAGAAAAGCAGAGGCAGAGGCGGAGGCAGAGAGAGGGGTGGGGTCTTCCATCGCAGGTTCACTCCCCAACTGGTTGCAACGGCCGGAGCTGTGCTGATCTGAAGCCAGGAGCCAGGAGCTTCTTTCGAGTCTCCCATGTCGGTGCAGGGTCCCAAGCACTTGGGCCATCTTCTACTGCTTTCCCAGGCCACAGCAGAGAGCTGGATCGGACGTGGAGCAGCCGGGACTCGAAGTGGTGCCCACATGGGATGCCGGCACTGTGGGCAGTGGCTTTACCCCTACGCCACAGCCCAGGCCCCTGGCCATACGTTTCTGCTGGCAACTTCTGCCTGCCCTTCGGGATTCAGCCCCATGCACTTCTCTGTGGTCCTCTTAGTCTCATTTCCAGTCTGCACCCTACAGAGACTGTTTGCAGGCACCATGCAGCTACCACCTCCCGTTACACAGGGAGGCTTCACATCGGATCTGTCCTCGTGCTTCCTGTTTCCTGCACCTGATAAGGTCTGGCACTGAGGACACGACGCAAACATGTGTTGGGCCGGCACGGAGAAGGGAGCTTAGTCTCCTCCTCCTTTTCAGTTCACCGTTGTAGCCCAAGTCTTTGCCAGCTTCAATCTTTCTCCCTCTGACCCAGGCAGTGTCTTTGTTGTTGTTTTTGTGGTCCTAAAGCTTGACCACCCTTCCTGGTCTACACTGATCAAGTTCAATCAGCTCACTGTGGCATTCAAGGCCCTGTATCTCCCACCCGCCACAGCCCACATGAGTCGGAACAACCCGCAGATGGCTCTGAGGTGAGTCTGCCAGGACAGGGGCTCCACTCTGTCCTTGCCTGGGGGCGCGGGATGGGCCCAGCAAGCAGCAGGCTGCCCGTGAGTGCTAAGGCTGACAGCTGGCATGCTGGCAGGGGGGGCCTCTGAGACAGGACGGGAACGCAGGCGTGTAAGCGAGGAGGGTGGACGTCGCACCTCACCCGAGAGCTGTCCGCTCAGCAGCACCGCGGCTCTACCACACCCTCGTCCCTATATCTCTAGCACACCGGATGCACGCACACTGCTGACTCAATGAACTCCCTCTAATGGGAAGATGGTCGTTTAAAACTAACGCCGAATATGCCTCCCTGAATTTCCTCTGGAGTGGTCCCCACGCGCTCACACAGGGGAGGCACCCGGAGGGATGCAGTCCGAGTGCCCCGCGGTGGAACAAGGCACTGGGTCTACTCCCACAAGGAGACCTTGGAGCCCGCGGATAGCTGTGGCTGTGCGGGAAAGACCGATCCAGAGAAGAAAACTGGCTCAGGGGCAGGACAGACAAGGAGAGCCGGCAAACACACGTCAACTGCAACACCGACGGCAGTGGTCGCTGCGGGGCCTCCTGGGGCTGTTTCCAGGACTTCGGCTGTGGAACGCCGGAATCAAGAGGCAGCTCTGTAGCAGTGGTCCCCGACACTCCAGATGCAGGTCAGCAGGACCCCAGCACGTGTCTCCACAGGGATAGCGAGGTCAGAGACCCCACGACTGAAGAGCTCATGGACTGCGACCCCAGAAGAGGATACTCTGACAGCTGGGAGCGCGAATGCAGCCTGCGGCCTGGCTCAGGGCGCGGTTGTGCTAACTTCCCCACGTCAGTGCCGGCCTGTGGCGGGGGAGGAGCGCTCTGGAAACTCCCCGTCACGCACTCAGGAGCAAAGAGTATGTTATCCGCTACTCACTTCCCAGCGGGGCCGGTGTGTGGACACGCGGAGCAGACGGCAATGATACAGCAGATGTTGCCGACCGCGAGGCCGGGTGGAGAGGACATCAGATCTCTGCACCAGGCTAGCAACGTTCTCCACGGTCTGGAGCGACCCGTGACTCTCTGGCTACTGCTTGGAGACCAGCTGGGAAGCAAGATCTGCTGGGGTGCGGGTGAGGGGCTCTGGGCACAGGGTGGAGGGGCCTGGGTCTGGCTCTGCTGTAGCAAGTAGAGCAAGCCTCAGGAAGCAAAACACCAGGCAGGCCCAACTCATGCTGTGAGCACCCCAAAGGCATGTGACTTGGGGGGGTATTTAAAATAAACAAAATTGACACCCCATTGGCCCAACTAACTAAAAAAAGAAAAGACCCAAATCAGTAAAATCAGAGATGAAAAAGGAAACGTAACAACAGACACCACAGAAATAAAAAGAATCATCAGAAATTACTACAAGGACTTGTATGCCAGCAAACAGGGAAACCTATCAGAAATGGATAGATTCCTGGACACATGCAACCTACCTAAATTGAACCAGGAAGACACAGAAAACCTAAATAGACCCATAACTGAGTCAGAAATTGAAACAGTAATAAAGGCCCTCCCAACAAAGAAAAGCCCAGGACCAGATGGATTCACTGCTGAATTCTACCAGACATTTAAAGAAGAACTAACTCCAATTCTTCTCAAACTATTCAGAACAATCAAAAAAGAGGGAATCCTCCCAAATTCTTTCTGTGAAGCCAGCATCACCTTAATTCCTAAGCTGGAAAAAGATGCAGCATTGAAAGAGAATTACAGACCAATATCCCTGATGAACATAGATGCAAAAATCCTCAATAAAATTCTCGCCAATAGAATGCAACAACACATCAGAAAGATCATCCACCCAGACCAAGTGGGATTTATCCCTGGTATGCAGGGATGGTTTAATGTGTGCAAATCAATCAATGTGATACACCACATTAACAGACTGCAGAACAAAAACCATATGATTATCTCAATAGACGCCGAGAAAGCATTTGATAAAATACAACACCCGTTCATGATGAAAACTCTAAGCAAACTGGGTATGGAAGGAACATTCCTCAATACAATCAAAGCAATTTATGAAAAACCCACAGCCAGCATCCTATTGAATGGGGAAAAGTTGGAAACATTTTCACTGAGATCTGGTACCAGACAGGGATGCCCACTCTCACCACTGCTATTTAATATAGTTCTCGAAGTTTTAGCCAGAGCCATTAGGCAAGAAAAAGAAATTAAAGGATACAAATTGGGAAGGAAGAACTCAAACTATCCTCTTTGCAGATGATATGGTTCTTTATTTAAGGGATCCAAAGAACTCTACTAAGAGACTATTGGAACTCATAGAAGACTTTGGCAAAGTAGCAGGGTATAAAATCAATGCACAAAAATCAACAGCCTTTGTATACTCAGGCAATGCCACGGCTGAGGAAGAACTTCTAAGATCAATCCCATTCACAATAGCTACAAAAACAATCAAATACCTTGTAATAAACTTAACCAAGGACGTTAAAGATCTCTACGATGAGAATTACAAAACCTTAAAGAAAGAAATAGAAGAGGATACCAAAAAATGGAAAAATTTTCCATGCTCATGGATTGGAAGAATCAATATCATCAAAATGTCCATTCTCCCAAAAGCAATTGATACATTCAATGCAATACCAATCAAGATACCAAAGACCTTCTTCTCAGATCTAGAAAAAATGATGCTGAAATTCATTGGAGGCACAAGGACCTCGAATAGCTAAAGCAATCTTGTACAACAAAAACAAAGTTAGAGGCATCACAATACCAGATTTCAGGACATACTACAGGGCAGTTGTTATCAAAACAGCATGGTACTGGTACAGAAACAGATGGATAGACCAATGGAACAGAATAGAAACACCAGAAATCAATCCAAACATCTACAGCCAACTTATATTTGATCAAGGATCTAAAACCAATTCCTGGAGTAAGGACAGTCTATTTAATAAATGGTGCTGGGAAAATTGGATTTCCACGTGCAGAATCATGAAGCAAGACCCCTACCTTTCACCTTACATGAAAATTCACTCAACATGGATTAAAGACTTAAATCTATGATCCGACACCATCAAATTATTAGAGAACATTGGAGAAACCCTGCAAGATATAGGTACCGGCAAAGACTTCTTGGAAAAGACCCCAGAAGCACAGGCAGTCAAAGCCAAAATTAACATTTGGGATTGCATCAAATTGAGAAGTTTCTGTACTGCAAAAGGAACAGTCAGGAGAGTGAAGAGACAACCGACAGAATGGGAAAAAATATTTGCAAACTATGCAACAGATAAAGGGTTGATAACCAGAATCTACAAAGAGATCAAGAAACTCCACAACATCAAAACAAACAACCCACTTAAGAGATGGGCCAAGGACCTCAATAGACATTTTTCAAAAGAGGAAATCCAAATGGCCAACAGACACATGAAAAAATGTTCAAGATCAGGGAAATGCAAATCAAAACCACAATGAGGTTTCACCTCACCCTGATTAGAATGGCTCACATTCAGAAATCTACCAACAATAGATGCTGGAGAGGACGTGGGGGAAAAGGGACACTAACCCACTGTTGGTGGGAATGCAAACTGGTCAAGCCACTATGGAAGTCAGTCTGGAGATTCCTCAGAAACCTGCATATAACCCTACTATACAACCCAGCCCTCCCCATCCTTGGAATTTACCCAAAGGAAATTAAATTGGCAAACAAAAATGCTGTCTGCACATTAATGTTTATTGCAGCTCAATTCACAATAGCTAAGACCTGGAACCAACCCAAATACCCATCAACAGTAGACTGAATAAAGAAATTATGGGATATATACTCTATAGAATACTATACAGCAGTCAAAAACAATGAAATCCGGTCATTTGCAACAAGATGGAGGAATCTGTAAAACACCATGCTGAGTGAAATAAGCCAGTCCCAAAGGGACAAATATCGTACGTTCTCCCTGATCGGCGACAACTAACTGAGCACCAAAGGGGAAACCTGTTGAAGTGAAATGGACACTATGAGAAACAGTGATTTGACCAGCCCTTGTTCTGATTGTTGATGTACAATGTAATACTTTATCCCTTTTAGTACTTTTTTTTTTGTTCTAGTACTATTGGTTGAACTCTGTAACACACAATTATTCTTAGTTGTTTAAATTTTAACTGAAAAGTGATCCCTGTTAAATATAAGAGTGGGAATAAGAGAGGGAGGAGATGTATAGTTTGGGACATGTTCAATCGGACTTGCTCCAAACAGTGGAGTTAGAATCGTGACAGGGGATTCCAATACAATCCCATCAAGATGGCATGTACCAATGCCATCTCACTAGTCCAAGTGATCAATTTCAGTCCACAACTGATCACACTGATAGGTCTAAGAATCAAAGGGATCACAACAAACAAGACTAGTGTCTGCTAATACTAACTGACAGAATCAAAAAGGTAGAGAACGATCCAACATGGGAAGCGGGATACACAGCAGACTCATAGAATGGCAGATGTCCTAAATAGCACTCTGGCCTCAGAAACAGCCCTTAAGGCACTCGGATCTGGCTGAAGAGCCCATGAGAGTATTTCAGGCATGGAAAGCCAAGACACTCTGGCAAAACAACAACAACAACAACAACAACAACAACCACCACCTAAATGAAAGATCTCTGCGAGTGAGATCCCAGTGGAAAGAATGGGGCCATCAAAGGAGGTACCTTTCTCTGAAAGGAGGAGTGAACTTCCATTTTGACTATGACCCTGTCAAAATAAGATCGAAGTCGGCGAACTCAAAAGGCTTCCACAGCCTTGACAACTCATGACTAGAGCCTAGGGAGATTACTGATGCCTTAAACAAGTGTCAAATTGTTAAGTCAACAACAGGAGTCACTGTGTACTTACTCCTCATGTGGGATCTATCCTTAATGTGTTGTCCAATGTGAAATAATGCTATAACTAGTACTGAAACAGTATTTTACACTTTGTGTTTCTGTGTTGGTGCAAACTGATGAAATCTTTACTTAATATATACTAAATCGACCTTCTGTATATAAAGATAATCTGAACATGAACTTACTGTAGAAAAACTAAGATACTGCAAAAACTAGAAAGGAAAAATAAACAGCAATGTTACTGCTTGGAAGTACCTTTCATTAGCAACCACTATGGCGTAAATTAAGCTTATAAACACGAAACCAGGTCATGACTTTGCAGCATTCAAATATTTACTCCGGGGAAACAGGTAAAATGTAAAAAGGCTGCCCAGAATTCCACTGTATGAATAGCGTCAGAAAACAGAAAATTTTCCGTCAGTGGGCATGGGCTCTGACCCAGGCTCCAGCCCTCACACGCTGTGTGACCTGGGTTCCAATTCTGCATCTCTAGAATTGAGCAGTAATTCAAACCACCATACAGGACTGAAGCTCCAGCACCCCATATGGGCACTGGTTCTAGTCCAGGCTGTTCCTCTTCTGATCCAGCTCTCTGATGTGGCCTGGGAAGGCAGAAGATGGCCCAGGTCCTTGGGCCCCTGCACCCACATGGGAGACCCGGAAGAAGCTCTTGGCTCCTGGCTTTGGATCAGCGCAGCTCCAGCCGTTGCAGCCATCTAGGGAGTGAACCACTGGATGGAAGACCTCTCTGTTGCTAGCTCTCTCTGTAACTCTTTCAAATAAATAAAATCAGTCTTTAAATGGTCCTGCTGTTTGGGTCATTTTCAAAAATTCCACTGTACAGTGGTGGCTGCTCAATCTTTGTGTACAGGTCTTTGAATCCCTGGGAGATACTCGCAAGAACTGAGTTGTTGGGTCAAGGGGCTTGATTATTTGAAGAATCCTTGGTGTAAGCTTCCAGCGTGTTCAGGCTGCCTGGTTTCACCTGTGCAGTAGCATATGGGAGTGCATCTCTCTGTACATGCGGACTACTGGGTCACCAATTAAAAACTCGCTGTGAATTCACAATCAAAATACCTACTATCGCTGTAACTTGCCCCTTTTTCATCAACATTGAGCCTTTCTGTTTCTTGTTACTGGATGCTAAGTACCCACAGGATGGTGGCTGTGACGCCCTGTGCTGCACATGGCAGAGTGCAGCGTAAACTGAAGGACACAAATGGACGCTCTGTGCGCTGTCCCACATGCCAGGGGACAAGGGACAGAACTCTCCCGACCCATCTGTTCTCCTGTGGAATGGGTAGAATGCTGATGCCCAGTCTGCATGGTTTTCATAGGAGTCTTTTTTTTGAGATTTATTTTATTTATTTGAAAGGCATAGTTACGGAGAGAAATCTTCCATCTGCTAGTTCATTCCCCAAATGGCTGCAATGGCCATGTCTGAGCCAGGCAAAAGTCAGGAGCCAATAGCCTCTTCCAGGTCTCCCATAAGGGTGTGAGGGCCCAAGGGACCACCACTGCTGTCCCAGGCACATTAGCAGGGAGCTGGATCGTAAGTAGAGCAGCCAGGACTTGGACTGGCGCCCACATGGGAGCGCTGGCACTGCAGGTGGCAGCTTAACCCGCTAGGTCACACTGGTCTCTTCAGTCATTAAGAAGTGCTGGGTAGTAATGTGTACGTGGATGTGCCATGGACACCTGCGGAAGGGAATGCTTCCAGGAGGTGCTTGACAGACGAGGAACTGAAGCTCAGAAAAGCACAACCAGCTGCTTAGGGCCACGCAGCTCTTACACAGCAGAGGAGGCTTCAGGGAGCCCACAGTGCGCACCTTCTGTTCATCTGTAACGCATGCTTATAGGGTAGGGTGCTGGGGTGCTGGGGTGCTGGGGCCGGGGTTGTGGTATGGCAGGTAAAGCCACCGCCTGTAGTGCCAGCATCCCATATGGGTGCCAATTCTTGTCCTGGCTGCTCCTCTTCTGATCCAGCTCTCTGCTATGGCCTGGGAGAGCAGAAGATGGCCCAAGTCCTTGAGCCCCTGCACCTGTGTGGGAGACCTGGAAGAAGCTCCAGGTCCTGGCTTCAGATCGGCCCATCTCTGGCCGTTGTGGCCATCTGCGGAGTGCACCATCGATGGAAGACCTCTCTCGCTCTGCCTCTGCCTCTCTGTAATTCTGCCTTTCAAATCAATCCATCTTTGAAAAAGAATAGGGTATTATGCTTCATGTACTGAAGTCAATTACCTACTTTTATCTCATATAAAATCACCTGGAGCAACTTCTTCTGTTATGCATAACAATTCTCCAATGTTTTATTTTCCCCAAAAATGGGATTTTATTTTTTTAAAGATTTTACTTATTTATGTGAGAAACTAAGTTACAGACACAGAGTGAGAGAGACAGAAAGAAAGGTCTTCCATCTGCTGGTTCATTCCACAAATGGCCACAATGGCTGAAGCTGTGCTGATCTGAAGCCAGGCGCCAGGAGCTTCTTCCGGGTCTCCCACACGGGCGCAGGGGCCCAAGGACTTGGGCATCTTCTATTGCTTTCTCAGGCCACAGCGGAGAGCTGGATCGGAAGAGGAGCAGCTGGGACTCGAACTGGCACCCATATGGGATGCCGGCACTGCAGGCGGCCCCGGGATTTTGTTTTTTAGAACAAGAAGGCCTACCCATCTTTGTAAAGTCCACTGGTGTTCTGTGAGTGGAATAAATTCCTAAGCATTTTTCTCCCACAGCAGATGCACCCCGAGTGAAGATGAGTGCCCCACGGGAACTGAGATCAAGGCGAGGACGGCCGTTCGCAAAGCGCCAGCTCTGCTCTTGCGCCTGGGTGAAGTGGGGCTCTCCTGCCCCTTACGGAACAGCCAGATGGAGAGAGGGCTACGGCAAAGCCAAAGTGCGGCAGCTCACGCTTACAACTCTGTACACATGGATCACAGAAACAGAGTATTTGGGACAATCTGTTTTCCACATCAAATGTGCATTTTCTTTTTAAAAAATTTATCATTTTTTAAAGTACGATTTATTTATTGAGTTTGAAAGTCAGAGGAGGGAGAGATGAGAGAAAGAGATGTTCCACCTGCTGGTTCACTCCTCAGGTGGCTGCAATGGCCACCCCTGGGCCAGGTCGAAGCCACGAGCCTGGAGCTTCATCCGTCTCCCACATGGGTAGCAGAAGCCCAAACACGTGGGCCATCTTCTGCTGCTTTCCCAGGAGCATTAGTAGGGAGCTGGACGGGAAGTGGAGCAGCCAGGTCCTGAAGCAGTGTCCACAGGGGATGCCGGCACTGCAGGCGGCGGCTTCACCCACTACGCCACAGCGCCACTGCCAGCCTTTTGTTTTTAAAAAGTGAATTGTGATTTAGTGGCTCCAGAGTTTCTGAAGTGACAGCAGCGCGGTGCTGCATGTCCAGAACCTGAAGCAGGGCCTCCACAGGCTGGGCTCACGGGAACCTTTGTCTGCGCGTGCTGCTTGTAAGCCTGCCGCTCCCGCCTGCGCTTGTGCCTAAGTGGGCCCACCTGCCCATTCCCAGCAGAACAGACCAATCGCCACACGGTCCCGGACACAACTCTGGGACATAACATTCTCAGAGATGCCCGAGCCATAAGAGACCCTGTCCTACCATCCGTTGATGTGGAGTGCCACCACTTGGAGCGGTGGTCCCTCTGGTGGTTTGGGGTCAGGGACCAACCAGATGGCACCACGCTGCTGTCACTTCAGAAACTCTGGAGCCACGGCTCATGGCTCCCAGCTCCCAGCTCCGTCTCCTTCGGCTGGACTTGACTGTCGTCGAGCTGGGGCACAGGCTGAGGGCCGCTGTGTGACGGCCAGCCTTCTGCCAGGGCTCCAGGGGCACGCCTTGGCAATCAGCTTTGATTCAGGCCGACTGGCTTGCTTTCCTTTCTCGAAACACAAAGTGAGCTTTATACAGACAGGACTTTCTCATTTTAAAGCTAAGATCTTTCGTTAGCAAAGTTCCACACAAGAAAATGACTGTATACAATGGCACGAAGCAGAAAGCGGCAAAGTCACTATTTTTAAGCAGTACCCAGTTGGAAAGAAAATTCTCTCAACAGAGAGGCTCTGACCAAAGTGGCCTGTACCGTGCAAAGTCTGCAAGACTTTTTTCTGTGGGGTCACGGACACAGTGCTCTCTGTGAAAGGAGAGAGGAGGCAGCAGGTCCAGAACGCATGCTCTGTGAAGGGCTGCAAGGCCACAGGCAGCTCACGTGCTGTGCAGGCTGTGGAGGCCGTGGGGCCCAGAGGAAGGGCAGCTGGTGAGGGGAGACTGGAGAAATGCGAGCAGCGGCCCACAGCAGCACCCCTCAGTGACGTGAGCTCTGAAAACCGAGGGCAGACAACAGACAGCTGCTCTGGTCTGCCAGAACACTCTGCACGATCTCACTGACTAGACAATCTTTTCCAGTGAGGACAGGGTGTCCACCAGGGTGCAGAGTGGCCCTCACTGAGGGGTGTGGCCACACAGGGGCCTGGTCCAGGGAGGGTTTGTGAGCAACTCATGACGAGACAGAAACAGAAAGTACAGGTCTTCAGACATTTTTACAGCAATCTGAAGCAGTGATTTTGGGCTGTTAAGGGTTCTTAACGGGCCAGCACTGTGGCGTAGCAGGTAAAGCTGCCACCTGCAGTGCCAGCAACCCAGGTGGATGCCCGTTCCAGTCCCGGCTGCTCCATTTCCAATCCCGCTCTCTGCTGTGGCCTGGGAAAGCAGTGGAAGATGGCCCAAGTCCTTGGGCCCCTGCACCCATGTGGGAGACCTGGAGGAAGCTCCTGGCTCCTGGCTTCGGATCAGCACAGCTACGGCCACTGCGGCCACCAAGGGAGTGAATCAGCGGATGGAAGACCTTTCTCTCTCTCTGCCTCTCTGTAACTCTGCCTTTCAAATAAAAAAATAGGTTTTTAGTATATGTGCTGCCAAAGCAAGCACATAAATCTTTTTTAAAAAGTTTATAATTAAAACAGGCTTATATATTTGTATTTTTTTAAAAAATACTTATTTTATTTATTTGAAAGGCAGAGTTATAGCGAGGCAGAGGCAGAGGCAGAGGCAGAGGCAGAGGCAGAGGCAGAGGCAGAAAGAGAGAGAGGGAGGGAGGGAGGTGTCTCCATCTGCTGGTTTACTCCCCAGATGGCTGCCAACGGCTGGAGCTGGGTCGGTCCAAAGCCAGGAGCCAGGAGCTTCTTTGCGATCTCCCACGTGGGTGAGGAGCCTAAGTAGTTGGGCCATCTTCCACTGCTTTTCCAGGTGCATTCGCAGGGGGCGGGATCAGAAGTGGAACAACCAGGACTCGAACTGGCACCCATATAGGATGCCAGCACTACCAGTGGTGGCTTTATCTGCTTTGCCAAAACACTAGGCCCTCTATATCATTTTTTAAAAAGTCCCTTTTCTAGTCACTGATTTTTCTTTATTGGAGAGGCAGAGAGAGACACAGGGCGGCGAGCTAAGCTGCATCCTGTTACTGCAGCACCGGTTCTAGCCCCAGCTACTCCACTTCGGGTCCAGCCCCTGCAAAAGCAGGCAGAGGCTGTCCCAAGTATTCAGGCTCTTGATACTCACATGGGTGACTGCGGTGAAGCTCCGAGCTCCGGGCTTTGGGCCTGGATCAGCCCTGGGCATTGCCGTCATTTGGGAGGTGAACCAGTGGATGAAGATCTACCCCTCCCCCTCTCCCTCTCTCACTTCAAACAAACAAACACATCTGAGACAGACACAGAGACTAAGAGAGCTCCCACTCCCACAATGCCAACAGTCAGTACTGGGCCAGGCTGAACAGAAGTCAGGACTTGACCTGTGTCTCCCACATGGGTGGCAGGGACCCAGTTGCTTGATATTTATTTTACTTTTTTATCACACAAGAGTACTGACCCACAATTTGGGTAACAGACGATGCACACTGGCTCTGCACATGCCTTGGGGAGTCCTGCCCTGCCTGAGACCTGGTTTCTGACACAGACTCAGCATCTCCAAAGAAACACACCGCACTGAGACAATCCTGGCCTCTTCAGCTCACCGCTAAAAATAACCCTTGTGAGGATGCTCTCACGACAGCAAAACTAATCATGGTTTCTTATAGACACAATGAGGGAAACCCAGTGGAGAGTGATACTTGCAATGCAATGCTCCTCTGCAGAACCCCTCCCAAAGTGGCCGTGACCCCCGTGTCAACCACCTCTGGGAGGCGTGGCTGCTTCACCTTTTATGGGGGTATGCGCCGGGCTCCAGAAGATTCTCACCAATGCAGCACTCATGGCTGCCATGGAGACCCAGCTCAGTGCAAGAGTGAACGGTGTGTTATTCCGCTATGGTTTACGGATGCTCCTCGTCCCTAGAGAGAAGTCCTGCCCGCACTTGACAGAAGCAGCCTGCCTAAGGCCGGGAAGTAAGGGGCAGGTGCAGGATCCAAATCCCAGCGGCCCAGGGGAGGACTGACGGAGCATGCCCAGCACACCTCCCTTGCAGCTGGACCCCGAGTGGCAGACCCAGGGGAGCAGCAAGGCCCAGGGTGACAGGACACCAGAGGGCGCCGGGGCGAGGGACAGCAGCAGCTGTGTGTGCAGCCCCTCCGGCTGGCAGGCAATGGTGATACGTACTGGCCGCACCCGGTGAGGAACACCGGGTGCAAATGAGGCCCAGGTAAGCCTGTAACACCTGCAGGGCAGACGCCCTCGGGTGACTCAGAGACTGAGACAGGGAGGGACAGCGAGGCACTTTCCAGAGGTGGTGCCGCGTGGTCTTCCCTGCCCCGAGGCCTTGGCTGGCTCCTCCCAGGAAGTGCAGAGGAGCTTCACCCGTCGTCACTGCCTCCTGCACTTGCCCATTCGCATTTCCTCAGACGGAAGCCGCCCCTCCTGCTGCACTTCCTCTCCCTGAGTGACACAGTGTGGCTTCTGCCTGCACCGAAGCTGGGCGTCCTGCCCACCTTTCTCCTCTGCTGGCCTCTTGTACCAGCTGACCACACCGGTATAAGAGCATCCCTTCCGCTCGAGTGCGCACGTCTGCCTCCCAGCCCAGGGTTTTGGCTCAGGCCTGCCCGTCACTTCCTCATGCAGCTCTGCATGTCCAGTCTTGCCCTCTGCCCCGTCAGCCCGCCAGGCGCTGAGGTCATCTTTCCAGGATGAAACCTGCTTCAGGCCTTCAAGAGCCTGTGGTCAGAGCATTCTCGCTCCCCACTGACCCCGAGCGCCTCCCGTGTGCCAGGCAGTGCACAGGACTCCGAGTCAACGGAAAAGTCACAGGCGCTGTGCCCGAGGGGCTCTCCGTCTGCAGAGCAGACAGAAGCCCCCTCTGTGCTGCTGCAGGCATTCAGGGAGGCCTGTGCGGGACTCCACGTCCAGCAGGACAGACCCCCGAGGTCACCGAACGGAAAGGCCTGAGAGCAAGGGAAGATGCTCGGGTCACACCGCTATTAACTGCGAGCCCCGCGGGAAGCAGGGGCAGGCACACGGCGGGCTGTGGCAGTGGAGGGCACACTCCCACGTGTCCCATTAGACAGTGTCCTCAGGCTTCAATCGTCGACCATGCTGGGTGTTGCTGTGTGGCAGCCACTGGTAGACATCCCATGTCAGAAACAGCACCGTGCCACAGAAGCGGCTTTGGAGGACAATTCAGAGAATACTGCAAGGTGCGGCACTCCACGTCTAACACGCTCCAAGCCTGCGCTCTTCAGTTAGGACCTGCGTACCTGGTGCTCGTGCTGGAAACACCGTCCTGCCTGCTTCCTCCCTCGATCCCCTGACCGCTTGGACATGAAGGCGTCCTCTCCTGCTGCCTACCTCCACTCTCCATGCGGAAACAGTGGCCTTGGCCTCTTGCTAAAAGGCTTTTGATGGTTTCCTACTGCCTTGGGCATAAACTCTGGGTGTCCCCCTCCTGAGGGCCTCCCTGCTTCAGGGCCAGCCACACTGGCCATGCACACTGCTGCGCCGGGGCTTCTGTGTCTGCTGTCGGCCCGCTCTCCTGTGTCATTCTTTCAGCCTGGCCAAGTCTGGGCCTCCTTTCCAGACCCCCTCCTTTCCTCTCTGCACAGTTTTCTTCAGATGAGTTCTGGCTGATGACTTGAGTTGCATGCTCATCTCCCTTGCCAGACTGCAGCCATGAAGGCGGGGACCCCATCTGTCTTGTCCTCTCTCGCAGCTCCGGAGCCCTGAACACTGCTGGTCCCCAAGGCTCTCAATAAACATGTGCTGGAGACCCAGCTTGAGGAGGGAGCTGACGTGGTGCAGCAGACAAGTGGGAGTGGCCAGACTAGAGAAGCGGGCTGGGCAGGGGAGGGGTCAGAACTGACACGCTGGTGACTTGTGAGTGAGGAAGGGCGCAGGACAGACAGGAATGCAGGTTTTATCCTGCGGCAGTGGGCAGGGAAATGACCCAGAAAACACAAAAGCAGAGTCAAACGCAGCACAGGGAACTTGGCTATGGAATGCCGAGAACACATCCAAATGAGGATCACAAGACGGCAACTACACAAACCACAGGGAGAGGCGGCGATCATCCAACTCATCCTATGAAAAACAGCCTCGACCTTGAAACCAGCGGTGACAACAAATAGATCATCCTCACTTAGGAACACAAACGCTAAGTTTCAGATGCAACACCACAAACAAGACAAACCACAACCTGTAAGGAATCATCAAGGGGCCGGCGTGGCGTAGCATGTAAAGCGGCTGCCTGCGACACTGGCATCCCACACGGGCACTGGTTTGTGTCCTGGCTGCTCCACTTCCCACCCAGCTCCCTGCTGTGGCCTGGGAAAGCAGCAGAGGACAGCCCAGGTCCTTGGGCCCCTGAACCCATGCAGAAGACCCAGAGGCTTCTGGCTCCTGGCTTTGGCCTGGTCAGCACTGGCCATTGTGGACATCTGGGGAGCGAACCAGCAGATGGATAATTTCCTTCTCTCTGCCATTCTGCCTTCTGAATGAATGAATGAATGAATGAATTTTAAAAAGGGGAACGCAGTGTAGAAGCTATCTGGAGCACTAGAAATATCTTACTTTAGAGGGTAAGTTACATGGGTTATGCGTTTATCAAAGCTCATCAAACCTCACACAGAAGGTCTGTGCTGTTCACTGCACGCACATGATCTCAATGGAAAGAAACAACCCCGACAGCCGAGCCCTCCCGCCCCAGCAGTCCTCCCCCCCGCTCCTGCAGAACAGCGGCACGGCAGGGGCGCTCACGGCCGAGCAGCCTGCTGCTCGCTGCACTGGCCCAAGTGCAGTCCCACAGGACCCCAGAGTTGGAAGGCATAGCTCTAGTGTGGAGAATTTATGGCATTTACTTATTTATTTATTTATTATTATTTTCTTGACAGACAGAGTTAGACACTGAGAGAGAGAGAGAGAGACAGTAGGAGAGAGACAGAGAGAAAGGTCTTCCTTCTGTTGGTTCACTCCCCTAATGGCCTCCATGGCCGGCACTGCGCTGATCCGAAGGCAGGAGCCAGGTGCTTCTCCTGGTCTCCCATGGGGTGCAGGGCCCAAGCACCTGGGCCATCCTCCACTGCACTCCCTGGCCACAGCAGAGAGCTGGACTGGAAGAGAAACAACCAGGACAGAACCAGCACTCTAACCGGGACTAGAACCTGGGGTGCCAGCGCCGCAGGCAGAGGATTAGCCTAGTGAGCCACGGCGCTGGCCTAACATTTACTTTTTAAAATACAAATCAGGCTTTTGGAACTTTGGAAACAAAGTTTAAAACGCAGGGCTAGAGAACAGCAAGTATATTCTTAGAACAGGCCCAATATGCAAACTGATTCATCCAGATTAGCAAAGTAATTTTTTTCTCCTGTAATGGGGGTTGGTGCCGTCGTACAACAGCTAAGCTGCTGCCTGTGACGCTGGCATCCCATACTGCAGTGCTGGTTCGAGTCCCAAATGCTTGGCTTCTGATCCACCTCCTTGCTCATGTGCCTGGGAAAGCAGCAGAGGATGCCCCATGTGCTGGGGGCCCTGCACCCATGTGAGAGACCCAGAGGGAGCTTCGGGCTCCTGGCTTTGACCTGGACCAGGCCTGACTGCGGTGGCTATTTGGGGAATACACCAGCATATAGAAACAAAAAGACGTGGTAAGTGTTAGGAAGGACTATCAACAGCAGGAGGAACTGTCACACCTGCTGAGAGGGCACAGCCCCGGGGTGAGGCTCCCTGAGCCTGCAGGCCACACTCCAGCGGCAGTGTGAGCTCCACCTACCTACCCTGCGCTGGTCTCTGACCCCCACCTACGTGCCCTGCCCTGGTCTCTGACCCCCACCTACGTGCCCTGCCCTGGTCTCTGACCCCCACCTACGTGCCTTGCCCTGGTCTCTGACACCCACCTACGTACCCTGCCCTGGTCTCTGACCCCCACCTACCTACCCTGCCCTGGTCTCTGACCCCCACCTACCTACCCTGCGCTGGTCTCTGACCCCCACCTACCTACCCTGCCCTGGTCTCGGACCCCCACCTACGTGCCCTGCCCTGGTCTCGGACCCCCACCTACCTACCCTGCGCTGGTCTCTGACCCCCACCTACCTACCCTGCCCTGGTCTCTGACCCCCACCTACCTACCCTGCCCTGGTCTCTGACCCCCACCTACCTGCCCTGCCCTGGTCTCTGACCCCCACCTACCTGCCCTGCCCTGGTCTCTGACCCCCACCTACCTACCCTGCCCTGGTCTCTGACCCCCACCTACCTACCCTGCCCTGGTCTCTAACCCCACCTACCTACCCTGCCCTGGTCTCTGACCCCCACCTACCTACCCTGCCCTGGTCTCTGTTTCTCCACTGTGAAACACCAACAGAGGACAAGTCTGCATTCCTCTGTCCTCACTCCCACAATCTAACAAGTGCTGGATTTCAAGCAAACCAAGCCAGCAGTAAGACACTACCTGAAATGATGAGGCCATTTTTATATTTTTTTAATGTGAACATTTATATTTTGCTGTGGAAATATTAATGCCTTTAACTCTGAGATAGAACTGGAATATTATATTATGTGCATAGTACATTAACTTTAGAGTTAAAAAAGTCAAATTCTGAAACACACAGGACCCTCAAGGGTTTGGACCAAAGATTCAGACCTGCCCCTGCCTCACAGGATGGCTATAAACACTGAGAGACTTTCTGTATGGAAACACACAGGACAGCGACTGCATTATGGACCATGATCAAGGACTCACGAGCAACACTGCTACTCTTACTATTTTTTTTTTTTTACGTTTTAAGCTTTTATTTAGTGAGAAAGATGCACAGGAGAGTGAGAGGTAATTAGGGTTCATAGCAAGCACCAGGAACCAGCCATGTGGATGAGCACCCAGGTCTGTATCTAGGCCAGGAAGCCTGGAGCATATGGCCCGAAGCTTATTATCTGTTCCTCACTATTCAACGGTGAAAAGGGTGTGTGAGAAAGGGCGCAATGGCAGGGCTGGTGCTGTGGCGTAGTGGGTAAAGCCGTCGCCTTCAGTGCCGGCATCCCATATGGGCACCGGTTCGAGTCCCGGCTGCTCCACTTCCTGTCCAGCTCTCTGCTGTGGCCTGAGAAAGCAGCAGAAGATGGCCCAAGTCCTTGGGCCCTGCACCCGTGTGGGAGACCTAGAGGAAGCTCCTGGCTTCGGATCAGCACGGCTACAGCCGTTGTGGCCACTTGAGGAGTGAACCAGCGGATGGAAGACCTCTCTCTCTCTCTCTCTCTCTCTCTCTGTGTGTGTGTGTGTGTGTGTAACTCTGACTTTCAAGTAAGAAAAAAATCTTAAAAAGAAAGAAGGGTCACGTGTCCTGCTCAGCCACGAGCTGAATGTGCTGCATGTGACCACTGAGCGTAAAGGAGGGAAAGAGCTCCTTCTCAGCGGTGCGTCCCCAGCTTCCCACGCGTGCTCTGCAGGCCGGGCTTCCGGAGGTCAGCACAGGGAGCCCGCAGGAGCACAGCAGCGAGCACAGCGTCTGACGGGGGCAACGGCTCAGCAGGCCTGAGAGCACGATCAAGAAGGAAACCAGAGTCACACGCTGACGGGTTCTGCGCAGCGCAGCTCGAAACCACCGACTGGCAACGCTCTTACTTTAAACTGCTCCGTGCTCCAAGGCTGTGCAGCTTAAGCACAGGGAACCCGTCTGCCCTCACTCGTGTGCAGTCCCCCAGCACACAGCTTGACATGAAGCTGCTATCAGTGGGTGCTTACCGAACAGAGCAGAGGAACCGGATTTGAATTCCCCAGGCAAAGTTACCCAATTAAGTTTTTTTTTTTTTTTTTTTTTTTTTTAATTAGACAGCTAGAGTTATAGACAGTGAGAGAGGCAGACAGACAGAAAGGTCTACCTTCTGTTGGTTCACTCCCCAAATGGCCGCTACAGTTGGCATTGCACCGATCTGAAGCCAGGAGCCAGGTGCTTCCTCCTGGTCTCCCATGCGGGTGCAGGGGCCCAAGCACTTGGGCCATTCTCCACTGTCCTCCCGGGCCACAGCAGAGAGCTGGCCTGGAAGAGGGGCAACCGGGACTAGAACCTGGCGCCCATATGGGATGCCAGTGCCACAGATGGAGGATTAACCAAGTGAGCCACGGCGCCGATCCCCCAATTAAGATTTTGTGTGCGGACTGGCACTGTGGCGTGCCTGGTGAGGCCACCATCTGCAGTGCCGACATCCCATAAGGGTGCCGGTTCGAGTCCCAGCTGCTCCACTTCGATCAGCTCTCTGCTATGGCCTGGGAAAGTGGCAGAAGATGGCCCAAGTCCTTGAGTCCCTACACCTGCATGGGAGACCTGGAAGAAATTCCTGGCTCCTGGCTTGGGACTGGCAAAACTCCAGCTGCTGCGGCCAAATGGGGAGTGAACCAGCAAATGGAAGGCCCCCCTCTCTCTCTGAGTCCCCTTCTCTCTGTGTGTAACTCTGACTTTCAAATAAATAAATAAGTCTTAAAAAAAGAAGATTTTGTGGGGGCTGGTGCTGTGGCGCAGCAGATTAAAGCCTACCCTGCAGCACCAGCATTTCGTGTGGGCGCCTTCTGAGTCCCGGCTGCTCCACTCTGATCCAGCTCCCTGCTAAAGCAGCGAGGAAAGCAGTGGAAGATGGCCCAAGTCCTCGGGCTCCTGGCTTCAGCTCAGCTCAGCTCTGGCCTTTGCAGCCATTTGGGAAGTGAATCAGTTTATGAAGATGTATCTTTCTCCCTCTATTTCTCTCTCTCTCCCTAAGTGTATCTTTCAAATAAATAAAATAAATTTAAAAAAAGATCTGTGGACATAGCACACATCCTGGCTCCTTTCAGTCACGTTTCTCTTCAGGCGGCTGGAGAAAGACTAAAATAACTGCTCGGGGGTCGAGGAGGCCAGGACTGGGTTCCCACAGACTCCAGTTCTGGGGCTGAGGAAACAGAAGAATCTTGCAGCAAGGGCCATGAGTCCGAAAGGACCTTTGTGTCAAGTGACACAAAAGAGCCTGTGCTGTGGCTGTCCCACCACTTCCTCTCTGCCCCCGAGGGACTCCTGCAGGGCTGTGTACAAGCCCTGCCTGAGAAAAGCATTTCCCACCCCAGGAAGAGTCTCGGGGGAAGGCTGCATCAGTCTGGCCGGGCTGAAGAGCGATGCCAAGGAAGGCCAATCCGGGACCTCCAGCAGTGCTGTGCCACAGCCTGCGGGCCAGACCAGTGTCCTCTGCGTGAGCTGACACGCCAGTGGGAGTTGTTTCTGAGTCAGCAACGCAGTGATGCAGAAACCAGAGATGCTCACAGTTGAGCCCACATGCCACTACCGGAATGCTAGCGATTTAGGGACTAGATGTAAAGCTCACTCTATGGCTTTGGAAAAGATGAAACATTGCACGCATTTGGAATACAGTAGACTCTAACAGGGTATAAAAAGTAGAAAAGCCTTCCCGGAGACAAGTACCAAAAATCTCTCTTCTTTCTCCAGCCAGCGCTGATCTTCTTCCATTTCCTGTTGCTGTCGGATCAGCCGCTCCTCCATCAGGTGGGCTGGCAGCACCTGCCCCATCCCCCGGAGATCCAGGGCTGCAGAGTCCTGGGGGAGAGTGGAAAACAGAATGTCCAGGCCGCTCAGTCTGTTCCCACGCCCTTACTTTGTGCGTCTTCCAAAAAGTTAAGCAAAACAGCAAGGGTGGAGGAAAGAGAACCCCTTACAGTCTGCTTGTGCGAACGACTTTTCTGGAGCTTGCAACACCACGTGTGTCAAGCACCTTTCAAAGATATTTAATTACTGAGCTCATAGACTTGCTTGTAGTGGTCTAATCTAAAAGAAGTAATCCAAGATACGCAGGAAGAATACATTATCACTTGTAGTAAAAACAGAAAAAACCAGAAGTAAACAGAAGGCCTAAATATACTCTTACCGCACATCTTAATGCTAGGCTAAACACTTGCCCCTAAATAAAAAAAAATGTTAAGGCTTATTATATTATTTGAAATAACAGAGAGAGAGAGAGAGGGAGGGAGGGAGGGAGGGAGGGAGAGAGGGAAGGAGGGAGGGAGGGAGGCAGAGATACTGATCTTCCATGTGCTGGTTCACTCCCAAACGCTACAACAGCTGAGGGCCGGGCGAGGCTGAGCCAGGACCAGGAATTCCCTCTGGTCTCCGGGGAGGGGAGGGGGGGGGAGCAGGACTCAAGCACTGCTTCCCAGGTGCATCTGGCAGGTGGCAGGGCGCTGGGTGTGGAGCAGAGCAGCTGCCCTGGCGTAGCAAGCAGGCGGCCTAAGTGGTGTGGCTGCGCCACAACGCCCAACCCCAATCCATACTTTCCATACTCTGTGAGTGGCTCTTGCTTTTACCGGGAAAGTTTTGTAAAAATTCCTAAGGTTTAACTGCAGTCTTTCTTCTTGCCCGCTACCCCCTGCCCCTGGCCTTACGTATATGTTAATCATATGCAACTTAGAGCCTGCCTTTCAAATGAATGAATAACAATTACAGCATTTACTCTTGGGTATTTCTTAGTTCAAAAAATGAGAACTCCTAGGAGTGGGCCTTGGCCTAGAGTTTAGCTCTGCTTGGGGCACGGGCACCCACGCGGGCATGCTTGGGTCTCAGTCACCGCTTTGCTCCCAGTCTGCTTCCTGCTAATGTGCATCCTGGGAGGCAATGGGGCTGGGTGCGTGAAGACCTGCTAGGTCACTTGGTCTGGCCCTGCCAAGGCAAGTGCAGATAGGACTCAACATTCAATAAATCTATGGCAGCCTAACTTTTAAGTTGACAATCCTGTGAGGCCCGTGAATGTTATAAATATTCAAATGGCTCTCGGTAGAAGAATCATTCCCCACCTCTGTAATGGATCAAGTAGCAGGGTCCCTGCCATCCCTGTGAGAGATACGGATTGGGGTCCTGGCTCCTGGCCCAGCCCCAGTTATTGTGGGCATTTGGTAAATTAACCAGTAAGTAGAGATATGTGTGTGTGTGTGTGTGTGCGCATGCCTGACTTTCCTTAAAATAGAGAAAAGCTTGTAAAAGATTAAAAAACTCATAAAACTCCAAAACATTTGAATAGACGGATTATCTTGATTTCAGAGTTCATTCACCAAAATCAAGAAATTTCAGGATTTAGAAATACAAGGCACCTTAAGCCACATTCAAAGAGAAACCCAAGAACAGCAAAGTACCTCCACGCTGGGCTGCCACATGGGCATCTCCTGGGCTCTGGGATTCCATGAGTCTGTTTGGTCCAAAAGAGATGCTTGACTTGGGTAGCCGCTGCCAGCCATGGCTGTGACTCCATGTGAGCCAGGGTAGCCAGAGCCCTGCAAGAGGGTGCAGAGGGGAGGGGACACTTTGCCGTAACATCGCTTTGCAGTTCTGCCTTTTGCACCAACGAAAGTAACTGAAATGACCGGGTATCCAGTGGTGGGCACAACACGGCCCTGCCAGACGCTTCCTTCCACGGCAGACGTTATCCTGGACTGTCCTAGGCTGTGATCCAGCAGCCCTGAACAGTGCAGGAGGGAAGCTGGGAGGAGGGGGAGGGGCATGCGACTCCTGGACAGTGGTCAGAGGCTGAACTGCTGGCTCTGAACACGGAGTCAGGGGACCACGAGCAACGATGCGCGTGGCCGCTGAAGCTGTGAGGCGAGGGATGGGGTTCCCCGTGAGGGCCTCAAGGAGGCGGAGCTGTTACAGCTGCGTTAGACAGTTAGTGCACAAATACACTGGAAATGGGACCTCGTTTTCTTCGCAATTCCACACTTACCAAATGCTCAGAGCAGACCACTCTGGATGCTAAAGGGACAGAGAGCCACAACACTAGCTGGGCCCAGGTGCTGCCTCAGGGTAACCCTTTCCTGCCCAGCAACAAGAACAATCGAGACACACACACAGGGACGTGTGTCCCTAATGATCTGGGGGCCGACAACGGGGGAAGTCCTGCTCTCAGGTTCCAACAATAATGACTGAGGCAGAGAGAAGACACTCAGTATGGAGGGAAAAATTTCAGGGCACACCGACAATCAGGGTTTCTTGCACTGGCTCCCTCTCTCATCAACAGAGAGAGGACACAGTCAGTGTTTGCTTCCAGAGCCTACCAGGCTAGTACAGTATGGCAAAGGGTTATTAGTGGACTTCTCCTGAAAGAGATACAGCACAGACAAATTCCCATTCCCAACACGAACATTCCTTTCCCTAGGCAACGAGCATGCCTGGGCTGGATATCAGAGTGGCAGCTCCTCGGGCAGGAGGGGCTTCGTGGGGCAGGAGGGGCTGGGTGCCGTGCAGCAGTCTAGGATACACTGGGGCAGGTGTCTGGGTAAGATCTGTGCACCCCCCTGGAGGTGACCGTGCCTCGGTGAAGCAAGCCCAAAGCCAACAGACACTTGTTAATTTTGCTTCAGGTCCTTCTCTACTAAGCACACTCTTTTTAGTATCTGTACTGGAAACGTGCCTGCTAAGAAACACTTGCCCAGAGCTGTCCACACGGCATGCGTGAGCTTCACCCGTATTCCTGGCCTTCAGCGCCACCTCTGCAGAGTGTGCCCACCTCATTCACCCTGTCTCTGACAAAGCAGGAGGGGACTGACAGAGGAGGGAGTCAGAGTGCTCTCTGGGCGGAGTGTCAAGACAACAGTCACTGACGTAAGGCGCGGGGGACACTGTCTTGGCTTTCTGATCGCCAATCATATTCACAAGTATATAGATAAGAAGTAAAAATCCCACGAAGCACTCTCCCACCTCTACAAGTGCCAAATAACCCAAGCGCTGTGTTTCTGTTTGTGATAGCACACGTACCTGGTAGTGGTTGGTCTGGACCAAGTGCTGCGGGCTGGGGTAAAATCCTTCACTGGACCTTGGACTGGGGTAGCCGGGTCTGCTGGGCTGTGAACAAACCAGAAGAGCAGCGCAGGGATGAGCTTTAACCTCGGAGAAACACAGCCGTGCATCCTGCAGTGCAGCTCGGTGTAAAGGAAGACACTTCTTGGGGAAGGAGCAGTCCTTACAGCCAGTGATCCTGAGTGACTAGATATTTACAAGTGGAATATGCAGTCTGGCTCCCCCTCCACAACACACAATAACGCAGAGGCCCACACACCCAGACAGCAGAGCCGCGGCTCCAAGACTGCCAGAAGCTTTGGGACAGTGTGAGGCAGCCATTTCCTAGCTCAGAGGCAGCAGCACGACTTCTGAGCAAAGAAGATACCCTGGACGTCATTAGAATGAAAGGCTTCTGTGTGCACATGACATCATGAAGAAAGGAAAAAAGGAAAAGGTAAAGAACGGAAGAAAAGGAGCAATGTCGTGGTGCAGCCTGCAACGCTCACCTGCGTAGGAGCATGGTTCCAGTCCCATCTGGCCCAGCTCCCCGCTGTGGCCTGGGACAGCAGTGGAAGATGGCCCACGTGCTTGGGCCCTGCACCCACGTGGAGACACGCATGGCGGTCTAGGCTCCTGGCTTCAGCCTGGCCCAGCCCCAGACATTGCAAACGTCTGGAGGGTGAACCAGCAGACGGCAAATCTTTCCGTAACCCTGCCTTTCAGGTAAATCAAGGAATCTTTAACAACAACAAAGAATGGAAGCAAAGGCAAGCAATCATCCTCTGGTAATGGATTCATACCCAGAATAAATAACATGACAAAGAATCTAGTGAAAACGTGGGCAGAAGACAGGAGCAGACCCCAAGAAGACATGGTCCAGGAGGCAGCGAGGGGTTCCTCGGGCCCGGAGGCACACTCACGATGTGTCTGGGAGGGTTCGTACCAACAAGACAGAAAACGAAGAGCAAGGCCGGGAAAGGACGAGGAGAAACCGGGACTCCTGTGGGAATGTGACGCAGCACACTTGCTAGGGAGGACGGCATGGCGGTTCCTAAGGAGACTGAACGCGAATCGCCAGAGGAGCCGGCGATTCCACCTTCGAGTTCATCCATCAGAGACAGAGATGTTTGCCCACGCACACAGACTGCAAGACCTTGGCAGCAGGATTCAGAACGGCGAAACCTGCAAACTATCTAGGTGCCTGCCAACTAAGGACGGTAAGCAAGGTGCAGTGGGCCATAAGTGGAATGCTGTTTGCTCATTAGACAGAATGAAGTACCGACATACGCCACAACATGAATGAATTCTGAAAATACGCTAAATGAAAGAAGCCAGCCACCAAGAGCCATGTGTACGTGACTCACTGGTCACAGCGAGAGCTGTATTAGAGCGTTCAGGCCAAGGGGGCTGGGGGCAGGGACCCACTGGCTCCGCAACTTCCCGGCTGTGGGTCATGCGCAGTAATCAAACTGACTGGGACTAGACCTTCCAGCTCCAAAATTCTCATTTTGTTTGTGAGAGAAATGAAGTCAGAGTTCACAGCAAAAAGATTTAGTCAGAAACAGAGGCTGAAGGAAGGAAGCTCATAAAATCTAAAACCTGAGGACAGCAGCAACATGGAGATCCACTCTCCCGCACCCACGTGAGACCATGGAGATCCACTCTCCCACAGCCACGTGAGACCATGGAGATCCACTCTCCCACAGCCACGTGAGACCATGGAGATCCACTCCACCACAGCCACGTGAGACCATGGAGATCCACTCCACCACAGCCACGTGAGACCATGGAGATCCACTCTCCCACAGCCACGTGAGACCACGGAGATCCACTCCACCACAGCCACGTGAGACCACGGAGATCCCCTCCACCACAGCCACGTGCGGCCATGGAGATCCACTCTCCCACAGCCACGTGAGACCACGGAGATCCACTCCACCACAGCCACGTGAGATCATGGAGATCCCCTCCACCACAGCCACGTGCGGCCATGGAGGTCCACCCCACAGCGGCCACATGAGGCCATGGAGATCCACTCCACTGCAGCCACGTGAGGCCATGGAGATCCACTCCACCGCAGCCACGTGAAACCACGGAGATCCACTCCACCACAGCCACGTGAGACCACGGAGATCCACTCTCCCGCAACCACGTGAGATCATGGAGATCCCCTCCACCACAGCCACGTGCGGCCGTGGAGGTCCACCCCACAGAAGCCACATGAGGCCATGGAGATCCACTCCCCAGTCCACTGCAGCCACATGAGGCCATAGAGATCCACTCCACTGCAGCCACGTGAGGCCATGGAGATCCACTCCACCACAGCCACGTGAGACCATGGAGATCCACTCCACCACAGCCACGTGAAGACCAGAACAGGAGGAAACGGCCTCAAATCCCACTCCTCAGTGTCTCCCCCATGGCTCTGGCTGACGGGCTTGCTCTGCGCAGTCCACAATGCATTTGGTCTCTGAAACCAGTCTCAGCCCTCACTGCTCTGTCCACGATGCGCCCACCCTCGACATGGAGAACACATGTCTTGAACGCTGCTTTCCGTTTTCACCAGCCTCACAGAAACACGAGTCCGCTCTCCGCGCAGCCCTTCCCAGCCCTCGCCTGGACGGCGGCTGCTCCGGCACGTGCTCGAGTCCTCTATCATGAGCCCTTAAACTCCTCACAGCGGAAGAAGCTTCCCTGCCCTTCCACGTGTCAACCAGCGTTGCACACTTAGTCTGCTTCACATGCAGCTAACAGTGAGCCTGGACTCCCCAGAACTGCCACATGGGAAGGCGTGGCCTGTGAGGACAGGGATTTCTGAAGTGTATCCTAGGAAGGCTACAGACTACCTTTCAGATTTATACTCTTAAAAATTTTTTAAAGATTTATTTTGTTTATTTGAAAGGCAAAGTTAGAGAGACAAAGGCGGGGGTGGGGCGGGGAGGAGAGAGCCATGGATCTTCCATCCACGGTCCACTCCCCAAATGGCCATGCCAACTGGGGATGGGTGAGGCAAAAGCCAGGAGCCTGGAACTGCAACTGGGTCTCCCTCTTGGGTGCAGGAGCCCAGGCACGTGGGCCACCTTCTGATGCTTTTCCGGGCACATCAGCAGGCAGCTGGATCTGAAGTGGAGCAACCGGGGCTCGAACCCTGCTCATATGGAATGCTGGCATCGCAGGCAGAGGCTTAACTCACAGCGACCCAGTGTTGGTCCCAGACTTACACTTTTCAATGTTTAATTTGCAAAAGTGGTTGTGCTGATTTAAAAGGTTAAAAAACAAAAGAATTTGCGTGGCAATGCTTGTTTTAAAGGTAGGTGTTGCTGTATCAGCATTAATGATGGTTGTACAAGGGGTCCAGCACTGTGGCACAGTAGGCTAGCTGCAACGCTGGCATTCCACACTGGAGTGCTGGACTGTGTTCTGGTGCTCTGCTTCTGATCCGGCTTCCTGCTAATGTGCCTGGGAAGGCAGTAAAAGATGGCCCAAGAAGGCTGGATAGCCTAGCCCTAACTCAGTTGTTATAGCCATTTGGGGAGTAAGCCAGTGGATGGAAGATCTCTCCTTATCTGTTACTCTTTCATATAAATAAATCAATCTTTTAAAATAATGGTATATGGGTGGGGCCGGTGTTGTGACACGGCAGGTAAGACCACTGCCTGCAATGCTGAAATCCCACATGGACACTGGTTTGTGTCCGGGGTGCTCCACCTCTGAACCAATGCCCTCCTAATGGCCTGGGAAAAGCACCCCCATGGGAGACTCTGATGACGCTCCTGGCTGCTGGTTTCGGCCTGGCCCGACACTGGTTGTTGTGGCCATTCGGGGAGTTAACTAACAGATGCAAGTTCTCTCACTGTCTCTTCTTTTTCTGTAATTATGACATTCAAAATAAATTTTAAAAACTTTAAAACCCATCCCCAGTGTACGGGAAAGGATTCCTGGATCAAATGCTCTTGAAGTTCAAGTACTGGGAGATGCAGAGGCAAGAATTAGAGCAGTGCACAGAGCTGACGGCTGTGAGTCATGGACTCTGGCCCGTCTGCAGAGCGCATGTGCAACGGGAAATACAAACAGCTGTCGCTGGCTCTGTGTATCCTGTGCACTGAACTGGGCCCTTCACACCAACTGGCTCACCTGGACGACGAGGCTAGGAAGCCGTATTGCCACCTGCACCTCACCGTGGCTCAGGGGGCGGGGTGATCTGAACAGGTGGCGTTCCCAACCTGCCGTGAGACGCTACCCATCACAAGCATGCTTCTTACTCGACAAAAATAGGAACAGACCGAAGAATGACTGCTGTAAATCACCTCTCAGGGTCACTCAGATGCCTAAACACGCAGCAAATGGTAACATCCACAAGGATTCCATTTGAAAATAAGAATCAGAGAAAGGAGAAACTACATCCTGTGACAGACAACTGTACCAAGAACCAGAGAATCCAGACCAGCTCCACTTCCACATACCAACACAGACGGGCGATTCACCTTCCGAACCACAACTGTGAAGATGTACAAACGCGTGGCCAGGACGGCTCTGCTTCCATCCTCTCTAAGAGCCAGCGTAGGAGGGGACGCACTCCGCCTCCTGGGCTTCTGTGCCCACTGTGCCTGCAGCTCCTCCAGAGCGGCTGTGAAGATGAAGCTGTGGGCGCCAGGTGGAGAGCTGCCTCCATACAAACCTCCCGAGTGCTGAGCGAGCAGGCTCACTTCACGGCCCCTCTAAGGCAGGAACTGGGGCTTTAACAGACGGAAATATGGAACGGAGGGAATCTGTGCCGAAATACCCCCAGCTGAGGAGGGAAAAGGGAGAAGCGGATGTGTTCACCCAGAAATTCTCAACTGTGTGGCACTGCTCCCCAAGGCCCTGAGGTTCCAGGGCACTAGGGTGGAGGCCAGGCAGGTGGGGCTTCCCGGGAGGAGAGTGCAGGCGCGAACAGGCCTTGCTCCACACCCACGGCACTTGCCCCAGGCAGAACAACAGTGACAACCAAAATCCCTGTTATCTGGGCCTTCAACCAACTCCACTTTTACACGTAACAAATGGCATTTTGCATAGTTAATCAG